ACTTTATATATATATATAAAACTTTATTGAAATTAAATCTAGCAAGCTCATTGCTTATTTTTATTATTTTTTAATTTAATTTTTTTTGTATGAGGATCAACCTCAGGACCTTGTGCTTGCCAGGCAGGCGTTGTGCCGCTGAGCTAAATCCCAGGCCCTTGTGACCTTATTCTGTGTATGATGACCCCTTCCTTTCCAGAGTTCCTGGTCTGATGGTGGGGAGACTGAATACGCCCAAAGAAATCCCTTTCACCCCTCCTATCCTCTGTCCCCCAGGGCCACCCTCAGCTCCAGTGAACGTGATCTCCAGTGTGAATGGCACATCCGTGACCCTGGAGTGGGCCCCTCCCCTGGACCCAGGTGGCCGCAGTGACATCACCTACAATGCCGTGTGCCGCCGCTGCCCGTGGACCCTGAGCCGGTGTGAAGCATGTGGGAGTGGCACCCGCTTCGTGCCACAGCAGAAGAGCCTGGTGCAGGCCAGCCTCCTGGTGGCCAACCTGCTGGCCCACATGAACTACTCCTTCTGGATCGAGGCTGTCAACGGCGTGTCTGACCTGAGCTCTGAGCCCCGCCAGGCTGCTGTGGTCAACATCACCACAAATCAGGCAGGTGTGTGGAGATGCCCCATCCCCAGCCCCGGGTCAGGATCGGGGTGATGCCTGGTCTGAGTGTGGGCTTGGGGCAGCCCTGTCTTCACTATCAGGACCCGGAGAAGACTAAGACAGGAGCCAGACATAGTGGTACACACTTGTAATCCAGCACTCTGGGAGGGAGGCTGAGGCAGAAAGACCCTAAGTTTAAGCCTAGCCTGGGCTGCTTAGGGACTTAGCAAGACCCCTTCTCCAAATTTAAAGCAAACAAAGGGTTAGGGACATGACTCATTGTGAAGGTCCTACGCTGACTTCCCAGTATGGCAGAGAGTGGGGGTGGGGGGAGGAGAAAGAAAGAGAAAGAAAGGAAAAAACATGTTCCATAAGTGAGAGGAACACAGAAGGCACAGGGCAGCTCGCGAATCCACCAGAAGCCCGACTTCCAGAACTTTCCCTGTCTGCTTTTTTATTCCCTACCTGCTTTTCCCTGGGTGCAATGGGAAAAATAGTACCTGCCGCCTTCTGTACTGTTGTGAGGCTTAGAAGAAAGGAATGAAAATGCTTAGCCCAGCACCTGGCCCATGGTCCGTGCCCAACAATGTCATTAAAAAGTAAAATCACTTTGATGATCATTTTCCAGCACAGCTGCTGTGGCTGCCCCTGGGATGGCTTTGGTCGCACTGGTTTGGACCTCAGCCATTTATCTGCTGCTAGCAGAATTCAGCCCCTGGAAGCTCTTTCTTTCCAAACTCTGGTGGATCCTGCCTGTTGGGTGACAACTTGATCTAAGAGGCCACCGAGGGCAGTTTCCTTGTGAACGGCCACCGTTGAAGTTCTGAGGACGCCCCCCAGGCTCCTGCCAGCTCTGCACATTCCCAGATGGTCACTGAGGGAGAAGCTGAGGCCCAGAAAGCTGCCCAGCGTTGGCCACACAAGGAGTGGCTGTGAACACTCAAACTCGGATCTTCCCCAGTCCCAGGGAAGCAGCCTGGTCTCTGAATCCAGGGTGCCCCTCTCAACGCCCCCACTTCTCCCAGTGTCTTAGTCAACTTCCTTTGTCACTGGGACACAATACTCACAACGGAGAGGACTGGAGATTCGTTGTGACTCACGCTTTTAGTCCAGTAGAGCATTGGCTCCCAAACAGGACAGTGTGGCAGAGGGACGCAGCAGAGGAAAAGCTGCTCGTGTCACGAGAGCCAGGAAGCGGAGAGAAGAGGGGCCGGGACGGAGAGACACCCTTCCAGAACACAGCCCCAGTGACCTGCCTCTGAGCAGACCCCGCCTCCTAACAGCAAGTCAGCCATGGAACCCCATAATTCAGTCATCTTCACAATCCAAGCACACGAGGCTTTGGGGAACGTTCTCAGTATAAACAATACACCCACCACCATAAGGTCCCTCCACCAGCAGCCACCTGCAGTTCAGTGCTATGCTATGAGACACAGACAAGGACACAGTGAGACACAGACCTGCACTCCCGCTGCTCAGAACCATGCTCCTGCTACCTGTGCTCAGGGCCTTGACTTGCTTCTCCTGAGTTCAGAGTCAGTCTCTTCCTCCTCCCTGTAACAGTCACCTGCCCACTGTAGCCCAGGGACAGCAGTAATTTAACTGAGGTTCCTGCTATGGAGAGAGGGAGCCCTGTTGTGAGGCCACACCCACCTCGGGGCAGACCAGTCCCACTGTCCCACACCCCACCAACACAACTCTGCAGTTGCTTCTTTTTTTTTTTTTTTTTTTTCCTGGGGGTGGGGTTTGAGACAGAGTCTCCCTGTGTAGTTGAGACTGACCTGGAACTCACTGTGTAGCACAGGCTCGAACTCACAGCCATCCTCCTGCCTCAGCCTCCCCAGTGCTGGGATTACAGGCGTGTACCACCAGGCCCGGCTGCAGTTGCTTCTTGATTTTCCAAGTTGCAGTCATCCAGCAACATTTGTTGGGCACCTTCTGTGTGGAGTCCCTTCCCTCGGGGAGCTCCCAGTCATACTGGGACAGCGAGGAATGGCCAGGCGGGGCAGGGGCGACATGCCAGTGTGGGGCAGTCAGAAGGGGCGCGGGGGAGACGTGAGGGAGAGGGCGGAACAGGATGCAGCCAATGGGTACGTCCAGTTTGGCCTTGGCGGCTCGGTATCCAACACCTCCCAGCAGCCTCCCTTCAGGAAAACAGGTGGGGGTGGAGGGTGGGTGCTGGGAGCAGGGGTCCTGGTGTGACCCGAGAACCCTTGAGCTCCGATGGGAGAAAGACGTGAGCGCCTGCTCCAGCCAGGCCCAGGGAGGGTCGCTTTGGGGCTGCCAGATCCGCCTAGATCAAGCGCACTGCGCGTCCCACTCCGGCCAGACCCAGGACAGACATAGGGACGCTGGGTAGGCGGACAGAGGAAGGGTCCAGGAGGGGCCCCCCACCTACAGGCCACGGTCCCCCAGCCCCGTCGCAGGTGGTGGCCATCCGGCAGGAGCGCGCCGGGCAGACCAGCGTGTCGCTGCTGTGGCAGGAGCCCGAGCAGCCCAATGGGATCATCCTGGAGTACGAGATCAA